AGACGAAATCAATGATGCTTTCCACCGATGGTCCAAGGGAGTAGAAGCAGCCGTCAAACACTGTTTAAGATTGCACCATTCAAAAGACCCAATGCGCTATCCACAACCCAGTTTTCCACAGAAATTTTTCGGCAGATGTGCTCCCATAAGGTTTGTCACACATGTCGCCCCCAAGACTATTAAACCTGACCCTACAAAAGGGTATGATCCTCCTACTGGAGTGACATCCAACAAGGCCAAGCTGAAGGCGCGACAAACACGCAGATTAATTTCTCTTCAACGACAGATTAAGAAACACAGACCTGCAGGTCCATCGACACAAGTACAACAACAAATCAAGCAGGAGTGGCAAGCAATCAAAACAGCACAGGGGTACGGACGGTCCTGGGAATCATGGCTGCTCAGCTTCGCTTGCGTTCCTTTCGTCCCATGTGAACCCCCGTCAGCCGAATGGCTCCTGGACGCCATCCAGATTACCAGACTTGATTCCGATGCATATGCGCGTCAAGAGGCACGTCTTCGGGCACATCACAAGCGCCACTGTCTTGCCTTGGCGCGATCGCACACCAATAACTCGAATGCATATAAGTTTATAAAGGGAAAGGAGCAGCAGTTCCTTAACGACTTTCCTGTAATCAAGCAGACACAAGTCACCCTCTGCAGAGCAAGAGGTAACCGGCCCAAATTTACTATGCACGAGCCGGTGTCAATCCCTGTAGGCGCTAGGGTAAAAATCGGAACATGCAGTGCCACGGTTGCAGATGTCACTGGTTCCTCCATTACCCTATCTGCCGTGCAAGGGCGATTACCGTCCTCAGCCTTGATGCAATACGAAACCCATGCATACCACATCACAGACATGTCCCATGAATTTCATTCGTATTGGTCGCAGTTTTGGATGAGAGACACGTACCAGGACCAAGTCAGTGATGAACCATGGCAACATTTACTTGACGACTTAGACATGTGCATCCCTGCACAACCCATGCTCGACCTTAAATATGACGACCCTAAGTTGTTATGGGACACCATCCATCGTCTTAAACCTTATCGTGCCGTAGGAATAGATGGTTGGCATGCCGAGGAATTGCAACGTCTCACCTGGAGTATGATTGTTGACCTCGCCCGTTTGCTCGGCGCCATTTGGCACAAAGGTCTAACACCGCAACAAATGCGTTCACGCACTTTGCTTTTCGCAAAGAAAGAACGGCCCGCGTCGATCTCCGACGGAAGGCCAATCACCATTCTAGGCTATATAGCCCGCCTCACATCGAAACTAATATCGGACCAAATTCTTCGTCAGTGGTCAGAATCATGGCCAGTTGTAATCAGTGGGGGCCTCCCGAGGCGGTCAGCCAGAGACCTCTGCCTAATGCAACAATTACAAATAGAACACGCAAAATCGAACCACACAGCTTGGGGAGGTTGGACAATGGACCTAGTTAAAGCGTTCAACCTCATCCCGAGGCGGGTGATTCGACATATATATACTTAAGATCCTTGGAGTCCCAACCCACATTTCCGACTTCTGGTTCTTGTCACTCACAAGGCTTACCAGAGTTTTGCAGAGCGGAAGAAGTCTTGGTGAACCTTGTAACTCAACCACTGGCCTTCCCGAAGGAGACAGCATGTCGGTAGTGGGAATGCTCTCCTTGAGCTTCGTGTATTACATCAAGATTCACACGCCACGGGTCTACCCTTTCGCATATGCCGATAATTGGTCTTTCATGTCGACCTCCGAAAGAAGTTGTTTTCAGACCATGACCAACATGTTAAATTTCATCACTGATTTAAGGATACGTATCGACTTCTCCAAGTCGTGGTGTTGGGCCACGACTAAGCAGTTTCGCACATTTTGGCACGACGCCGCAGCCCTCTTAATGGACCCTCATTTTGTTTTTACAATTAAGAGCCACGTGCATGATCTGGGATGCACCATCTCATATACCAACCAAGTGGTTTTGGGTCCACTAAGAGACAAGATTGATAATGCAGTGGCCAAATGTAACCGACTCCGGAAACTGCAGCTTCCTCTAGACGAACGGGCGGAAAAAATACAGACGGCCATTTGGCCTGCTACCTTTTATGGTGCCTTGGGAGTTTCCATTGGATCTCGGCATTTCGTCACCTTGCGTCGAGCAGCCTGTAATGTGTTGGTCGGAGACCACAAGTATGCCTCTAGTCCCATCGCTATGCATTTCCTTTCAGCCAAAGTGCAGGACCCTCTCCTCTACCTTGTTTCCGATATGCTATCTACTTTGCGGCGTTTGTTCGCATATTACCCTACCATGGCACACCAAATTATCACGACGATCCGAACATTTGAGGGTAAAGTCCGAGGCCCCGCCAGTGCCCTGGCTGCCTACCTTCGCTCCCTGGGGTGGGAACTGACACAACACGCTACACTCCTGGGCCCTGGCGGGCTGCGGGTTAACATCGCAACATCATCCACCAAGCAAATCAAGTCGCAACTGCGCATTGCCTGGGACTGGTTTTGTCATCAGGAAATAATACATCGTAAAGGGGCACCCGATACTCCTTTTGACTCCCTCACCACGCTCCGTTTGATGCAGCCTTTAACTGATCGCCAACGTAGGATTCTGTGTTTAAGTATTACATCAGGATGGCAATCATTAGGGGCCATCTCCGGGTGGTCTGCTACGCAGGATCCACATTGTCCGTTCTGTGGCCAGTATGACACGCATAGCCATCAGCTCCTGGAGTGCTCATCTTTTCAATCAGTGCGTACCGAACACCCCCATGCAGTTGCGTATATCGCAGCAAACCGGAGAACCCTTTGGTTTCCCCTGCCGTGTCACCACCCCCGGGTGGAACTTGTCCGGCAAGCCATGCACTTAAGATGCGCGGAGTTCGAGTGTACACCCACATCTCCCCTTGCCCATCACGCGGTGGTTTATACTGACGGCACCTGCGACCATCCTAAAGACCCATATGCCGCCCGTGCGGCCTGGGCGGCAGTACTCCGTACGCCTACCCTCGATGAAGGCTGCCCCTATCGTTTCCAAATTTTTGCCTTGGGACATTGCGTTGGAATGCAAACCACTAATCGTTCAGAATTGTTCGCAATCGTGGTCGCGGCAGAGCAGATCGTCGCATTGCCCTTCCACAGCCCCGTTGACTTCATTACTGACTCACAGTTCGTAATCCAGGTCATAGAGCGTATTGAAAGTCGCACCAGCGAACTTAGTCAACATAAGCAAGCACATTGGGACCTCATCCGGCGTCTGCTGGATGTGTGGGACCCAGATCGATTCCATGTGTACAAAATTAAGTCTCATATGGATGTACAGACGGCTCAAAATGCTGAGCAAGCTTGGCACATCCATGGTAATGCCTTTGCCGATCAAGCTGCGGCCCGCATTCGTAATACAGATGATTCAGATTTCACCAACATGTGTGAACAGATTCGCACCCACTACCATGCGAACCAACATGATTTTGGCAAAATCTACCAGTTTTTACTCGCAATTGCACATAAGCGCATGGAACTTTTGGAAGAAAAGAAACCCTCCCCAACGCTACATGCTCCTGAAGGACATATCTCTGCCCCGGCAGTCGACGTATTCCAGAACCAAATTCATAAACTAAAGTCATGGTGCATTCAGGGAATCCACTTCACACCACCTCCTGAACCACATCGGGTGGTTTTCTGGTGCTGTTCTTGGGGTGTTAACCTGTGTTACCTGGTTTGGCAATTTTCGACACGTGTACATTGGCCTGACCCTGCCAATCCATCGGTGCCTGGAGACCCAGGCATCTCATGGACAGAACTTGCTTTGTCTTTCATGTTATGGGCCAATCAAGTCCTGCCAATAAGAATTAAAGAAGGGAAGCGTCAAGTCACTTTGCAGTACACGGATCCAAAGGTTCGCCTGTTGCCCCTGAAGGCTAAATCTCTTCGTGTCTTGTCAGAAAGTTTCCGCTGGATCATTAAGCATATCCAGACTTTCTCTAGAACGAAAGTCATCCCCGCGTATAAGAAACAGGGTACATCCAGTTTGACCAGACTTGGTTTCACCAATTATCATGAAGGCGGTTTGTCTCGTAGACCAGAACTCCCAAATGCTGTTTTGACCACTACAGTCTTGCATAAGATGCTACAAACTATGCCACACGACCCACCTTTTCATAATGAAATTGAGGTCCCTGAACTGCCATCAGATTTAGTCACACCTCCGTGGCCTGGTCTATCTGAAGTCCCGCCCGACAAGCAGGAGGCCTTTACGCAACATGTGCGGTATGCAATGTTCCGCCACAAAGATTTTGATACCATCCGACATCCGTCAGCCCCGAATTAGGTCCTTTCCTGGAATGCAAGTTTTGTTCGATTACTCTTACAAAACAAAATTCATTTGCAACTTCTGGTCCTTGATGTGTACAATCCATGATTTCACTTCTTTCGTCTCTGCATTCGGTTTCACGTAGTGTTTTTGTGTACGTAGTTTTCTGTTGAATCACTTTGTCTCCATCATGACCGTTTTCACCGGAGAAACCCACCAACACCCGCCATACAACATGGCAAGGGTTTGATGTGGGCGCGGGAGAGATAGTCCGCAAGTGAGTGCATCCAAAACGGGTGGTTCTCTGGGCGAACGGTTTTCTTGGGGGGGGACTGTGTTTAGCACCATCTGACAAGCCTCTGGCCAATTAAGAGCGAGGCTTGGCTCATGGCCCAAAACTGTATAAACACAGCGCTACAATATGCAACCAGGATAGGGTCATTGCTGCCTGCTTTTCATCAACAATCAAAATACATTCCCTGAAACAATCATGGAAGTTCGGAACATGGCCCCCTTGGAAGGAGGACATATTCCGAAGACAAAACAGGTGGTGCCATCCACTTCCATATCTTCCATGATTCCTTCAGGGTTTCTCGATACAGGGTGGTTTTTCCGGCGTGGTGTTCCAAACCAAAACAGGTGGTGCCATCCGGCTTTCCAGGGAATGAAAGCTTCCCCATCTCCGATCTGCCCAGCCACTTGTTCGATGCGGCCCGATAGGCCAAGCTGAGAGGAGGGGACGGTGGATTCGCCGGGGGAGGTCGAAGGGTCTTCGGGCTTGGGAGAGGAACATCATCAAATACACACATAGACAGGTCACCAAATCTAGAAAAACATGTCCAAGTTTCCCTAATGTGGAGCGGAGGGATATGAGGGAAGTCCTTCACTCTTCTATCTTTTTGAGTTGCTACCGGGATGTATATACAAGGATTGGTAGCTGCAGGTCTGAACATTCATCCAAATTGCGAAGGCCTGCCTACTAGGTGTTGTTTCTGTGATGCTGATCCACCGGAAACCTCCATCGAATCTCCACCCCAGGCGGAGAAACTTCACACTTTGACCATCGTCGACCCTCATATCATCCTCTCCATGAAGCATCTGGAGGGGAAGGTAGTGGACCAAAGGAGGGGAGGAAAGGTGGCTCCCAGTTTGAGAGGACTGCTGCGCCGGCGCAGTTCGGGATCTCTATGGATTTCTGGGTCTTCAATGCTTAGGAAGGCCACCATGCACCCCAGGCTGATATCTGTGGATGCATTTTTGGGCGTGGTGGAAGACGGAAGAAGAATTTGCTAAAGAAGAACTAGCTCTTACTAGCTCGTGGAATTCAGACCGGCTCCAGGTGATGCAAAGTTGTTTTGCATGGTTTTTCCTTCAACACTCAGGCCAGTAACCCAGGTGCAGTCTCAGTAAGTTGAGGAAAAAAAACACTTCAGCATGGCGGAAACCGCGAGTCGAGCCTCTCGATGTGAGTCGAGCCTCTCGTTATCTCTGCTCAGTTTGCTCCCGAAACTACGATCGGATGCTGTGGCGAGCCAGCAACCCCGAAAGACTAAAGGTCCCCTGTACTTCACACCAAACGAGCACATGGAGTCAGACGAAGAGTCCTACGAGTCTTCACTAAGTCCCAAAATCATGTCCCCCATCTTGGTTGAGATTTCACAGAACCCCGTGCACCCCATTTGAAGTCACAATTCATCGGAACATGGGTTGTTCTTTGCAAAATGGCGGGATTTCCAAGTGATTTTTCATAAAATGATGGACTCTGAGATCATAATGACTTTAAAAAAAAAAAAAACACACACACACACATACTGCAATGTGTCCACATCAAGTCGATGTTTCAAGTTGGAAAGGATGTAGCCAAGCATTCTGCATTTAGAGACGCTGGAGCCCTACAAGCCAAAGGGCCAAAGTGTGACGTGCAGTCCCGGCACTTCATAGAGACAAGATAGAGACAAGACAGCTAAGATCACATCAGCTTGTCTGGACAGGAGACGTTGAATGCCACGATTTCATAGTGTTAGTAGGCTGCACTAGGCACACAAATGTCGTAAATACTACCAATGGGAAGCAGCGTACATTCCGTGGACAGCGTCGCGTACATTCCGGTTGGTCTCAACATAGTGGTTATCACTAATTATAACTAAATATCATGCATATGGCTTGGATCTATCCGAGCCTATCCTGGGCCCAGTGGATGATCATGGGGCCTGGTTATGGTTGCAGGCCTTGGTCATGGTCATGATGATAATTCTTTACTGACTGTTACAGGTAAGAACGGACAGACCCTATGCATAATGATTTTATTGGAGCCATGTGAGGAACAAAGAGAGGAACGGTTATATAAGCAGGTTTGACAGCTGTGGAATCAGCAACAAGGATGCCCCCCCAAAACAACGGACAGTCTGAGAACAAATAGGAAAGGTAAGCAGGTCTGGAATGAGAAAGGAGCTGTCATTGTGTAGAGCCAGGACAACCAAAGAAAACATATTCTGAGAAAGAAAGACAGAAACAAATTGATACAGGCGAGGGATTGTAACAGGATATGGATGGATATGGGTGGGTCCGGAATTAGTAAAGAGATGTAAGGAGCTTTTGTTTTGCAAAGCCAGGACACCGTCAACACCATTGACAATCTTTTTGTAAAAGCTAATTACCATGCACAATCTTTTTATAGAGCCGTGTGAGGAACAAAGAGATAAAAGGGCAAGCAAGTTTGGACAACTTTGGAATCAGCACAAAGGATGCCCCCCCAAACAACAAATAGGAAAGGTAAGCGGGTCTGGAATAAGCAAAGAGCTGTCATGTTGTAGAGCCAAAGCACTCTCAGCAACTGCTGTCATTCTGTAGAGCCAGGACACTCTCAACAAAACGGACCATCGTTTTGTAGAATCTGTGGATCATGTAGGCTTCAACATGCTTCAACACAGAGAGATCCAGGAGATTACAATCGAATAGAGCAAATGAGCCTGGATCATACTAGATCGGAGAACATCAGCAAAAAAGCCTCCATGGTGGCCTGTTCTCGAATGACATGGTGATCTGTTTTTACAAAATATGGCAGGAAATTGTTTTGTACAATTTTGTTTGTCTGTGCGAATCAAATGGACGACAAACCGACAAACCTTATCAAACTAAAATTGTCTTGATTTCCTCGACACCCTCTCCCTTCTTTACATAGTGTGTGGATGGCTATAGCTTCGTGAGAAAGTGATCCTTTTACAAAATTGCCGTCCATTCTATTTCAAACATGATTTCCATACAAGATGATGGCTACATCATGATGCCTTGAGGTTACAATGTGACAGGCCGCGTCACCCGACCCGTGGCTTAAACAACGTTTCAACCAAAGGCCCCAGGGCCGGTGGACCTGTTGATCCCCAACATGTTCCAAGTTTGCCAGCACCGATATTCTTCCCTTCCACTTCATCTGGATGCACCTCATCCGGCATCAGATCCCAGCCCCTTCACACCGCCGACGTCTCTCTCTCTCTCTCTCTCGGCAGCCCGCGCCTGGCTCCGATCCACAGACTGTAGGCGAGTCTCGTTCTCGTCCATTTGATTTTGCAGGCGTTGGATGGTCTCCTGAAGACATCAAGCTGGGGCCAATGGGAGCTGAGGCAAATGGGAGCTGAAGTTGTTGGCTCCAGCATGCACACACCTGAGCACATCAACGGTCGGTGCTTTGATTCAGGTGTGGGGTACTGAAAGAGTCGAGATTTAGTCGAGACATGGCATATCCAGGTAGACAATTAACAAAGTTGGCGGAGTGAGCTTCAAGACTCCAGCCCCCCTGGCTGAGGTCCTTTTGTGCGTCCAAAAAGGATCTTCAGGGAGACGGAACGGAAGGCCAGCTGTTCAACGTGTTAGCCACCCAACGGCTTCCCCAACGGCTTCCTCATGCTTTTTCATGCCCTTTTTTCCCATCCAGCAATCCAGCTCCATTCATCTCTATTCAGCTTGTGGTCTGCGCCCGAAAAGCAGCATCGCTTGTGGATGGCATGGCCCTTTCAAAGACCATGTGTCCTCTACGACAACCAGGGTAACTGTTGAAGCCAAATATTTCACAATGGAATGTGAGGAGCACGTTTGTAGACTCATAATTGATCAGACTTAGGGGATCATTTGGGGTATCTTTGGAACCAGCTCCGTGTTGGTCGTGTTGGTCAGATACGGCATGTCACCATGTCCAGAGCCGAGGACGACAGGGAGACGTCTTGGCTGGGCGAGCCCGCCGGTCTCTGTGGCTCCAAGGTCGCCGCCGCTACTTGGCTTGACTTGTGGGCGCCTACTTGCCCGAGCCAGAGCTCGTGTGTACGGAAAAAGCGTGCAAGCCGGCAGTGCAGTTCATGCGCCAGCGGACTGGATGCTTGAAGTTCATGAACGTTAACTTGCTCATCTTGCCAGGTCGTCATTGCTCACCTCAAAGTGCAAAATGCAACTTCTTGGGGACACCAGATTTTCCCCATCAGTGAAAACACATGTATTGCTTTTATGTATTACAAGAGTCCCGCCAGCCCTTCAATTTCCAATGTGTTGAGTGAGTTCTTGTCAATGCAACTGCACTGCAGTTCCTTCTTTGACCAAACCCTATGTATATAGACTCTAAGTATATAGCTGACCAACATCTCTGGCAGCGGTTCCCGTCAGCTTCCGTCACCACCGGTCAGCACCATGCGTACCGAACTCGAGATCCCGCTAGCTAGCCTCTTCGACGCCATAGAAGTCCATGGCATTTTTCAGGCAAATCCGCTCCGCGTCGTCCCCGAAGTGCTGCTCAATGAGATGCACATCCGCCAGGTGAAAGGGCCGCGGTGCACGCGTGCAGGGTAAGTCGCTGCCGAAGAGCAGCGCTGCAGGGTCCACCTCAGGGCGGCAATGCAACTGGAGAAGTGGTGTGTTAATGATGTTAATGGCTAAGAACAATGGTTAGTGTGAACTGGCAGCTGTGAAACATGTTTATGTGGGTATGTAGGTACTGTAGGTATGTAGGTATGTAGGTAGGTAGGTATTCACAGTATGTATGGATGCATGCATGATGTGTGGAAGGTCAGCGTCAAAAGAAGTTGCTGGCCATTGTGGAGACAAACTGGATTTAGAAGCTGGGCACAACCCGTTTGATGGAAGTCTAAGTGCTGATTGACAATCATTGACAATGGAGGCGCTTTCAGCACTAGGGCATGTAGAGTGTTCTATTGGAAGGTTCCTCACCCTGTTGCGAACCCAGGTCCCAGTGGTTCATTGCACTAAAAACTTTCCCCCAAACAAATGCTTGTAGTAATTACACTCCCTGGAACTAACATGGAAGTGGAGAATGGCTCCGTAAGGAAGACCATGTTCCACTACAAACAGGTGGTGTTCCACTTCCATGTTAGTTCCAGGGAGAGTAGGTCAACGACACACCGAACACCTGCACATCGATATCGCGTCTTCGTCGCCCGAAACGCCCGATCCCCAAACGCGGCTTAAGCCGCCTGGTGAATCGCTTCCAAAGCTTCCAAGGGCTGCAGCCCTTGCAGTCGCCCAAAGCCCGTAGCCTTCACCTGGCGACGTTTCGAACGGGGGGGGTGGGTGGAACCTGTGCGAGTCTGGTGGTTACGGTGCTGGGAGTTCCGGGGGAGGAAAACAAGGCAAAGGACCCCATCAGTTGGTATGTGTGAGGGTTCCTCGAATATGGACAGGTGGTTGTCGTCTTGTTTTGCGCATGCCAGCAGGATTCTACATCCCGTTTGGAGTGCATCATTGAGGTTTGTGCCTGGAAGCCCGTAGTAATGCAACATGCTTCATGACCATAAACTGAGACTTGTGCTCAAACGAACAACATCTGCACCAGTCACAGAGCTCGGGGTGGTACATGTTGCTTAGTCCCATCCAGTGGATGTGATGTGAAAACATGTGAAAACGGGGCACCCCCCACGTCTTCCGTTCGGAAGCCGGGGTGCCTGAGCTCTGTGACTCCAGGGAGCTGATCGATCCCTCCACCCCCCACAAGTACACCCGGGAAAAGACCCGCATGAAACGTGATGGAACCTGGACTCATGGTGACTCACGGACCGAACTGGAAGGCGATGTTCCTGTGGGTTTCAGGTTCGTCATCACGTGGGTCTCTTCCAGGGCATATCCAACACATTGCTGAAATCCGCTCGGTGGGCGACCTTCACCCCTTCTTTCACTAGCTCCAGGAGAAAGGGCAGCGCTTGGCGGCTCAGCCCCAAGTGATCAATGCTGGCTTTCGGCAGCTCTGCGATGCTGGCACCTTGGCATGACTGGAGGGTGTTCCTTGTAGATTTACTTGGGTGTGCTTGTCTGGTTGCACATTGTTGCGTGAAGCATAACTATTCTAAGCTACATATCCATTCCAGCCTCAAAGGCTCCCTGTCGGCATGGCGTGAACGAACGTTCAGTGCTTTGTGACAGGTTTGTTCCCGAGGCTTTCCCAATAGGTTCGTCCAAACCATGGGCCAAAAAGAACTCTAACGTGAGGAAACCAGTGGTGTCCAGTGGACTATTGTAGTTCAAGTGATTCCGTTCAGCTTGGAGGACTGAAAATAACTGGTTATCCAATGTTGAACAACATTGGCTAGAGTGCCCTGTGTGGGTGATGATGATGAGTATCAAGGACCTTTGCATCCACAAATGAGGGTGTATGTGCAAGGAGACACTCAGTGGACCCAGTGAACAGCGCATGTCAATGCCACAGAAACCGTTCCTTGCCTCGAATGTGCTGCATGGAAATGCCAGCAATGCAGCAGCAATATGTACATATATCCCAGTCAAGTTTTCAAGATGCCCCTCAAAGTGCCCCTCGCCCCGATCGACAAAAGTGCTCCACCAACTCGCCCCAATCAACCATGTTTGCGAAGTTTAAGCATCTTACAACCGATCGCGTCTAATCAAACTTGATCCCGTCAAAAAGTGACCAGGTGCCGTTAACTACGCGGACTCGGTCGCTGCCAAATCAGCTGCAGGTTTAAGACCAATGGCGCTGCCAGCTACAAGATTCCACTTATTACATCTTGTTACCCTGATTGAACTAGTCATGGAAGTGGAACATTAAGGTCTTGGATGACCATTTTCCGAATACAAAACGGGTGGTTTTTGCACATCCATGATTGTCTGAGGGAGTGTGCGTGTGTTTTTTTCACTTTTTTTACATGTGTATCTAAGTGAGGCAGCCTCTGTCTGTCGGCCGATCTCGACACTCTGACGCTTCGCCTCTGTGGCCGCTTCGACTCTGTGGCCATGTGGGCATTCATCTGCCTGTGTGCCTTGCATGCCTCCATGTGAGACCCACACTCATTGGTGATAGTCTTGCCCACTCAATGGCCTTAACAACAGACGTTTCACGTTTCAGTCACCCAGCTTCCCACTAATTGCGGATCCATGGAGATCCGGATCCTCAACCCCAAATGAAAAAGAACAAATACACACATGACCAAGCAGGGTATACATATATCAATGATACATATTGATACCAAGCAGGGCGGTGAGAGGCCCATGCCAACCACCTGCCAGTTTATTGCTTTTTCAAGTCCTTGTAGAGGTGACAAAGGGACAAACGGTGACACAGCGACATCCTCCTGCATCCGCCGGAGCACTCAAAGCCTCCAATTCTTCTGCCTCCACATAGAACTCCGTGTGCCAACCTCCGAGCCTGAAAACCCTTCGGCTCAGCTCAATGATGGCCGTGGAGTCTAACGAGCACATCCTGCGAGGTTGGAAACGCTATTTTTGGAGCGCAAAGTACCTCCATAAAGCTATATAGGTGGTTGCGATGGTCCAACTAACTGAATCTCGACGTAGCGTCTAAAGGAAGGAGTCTTGAACAAGTCTAGATGAGCGAGCTCTTACTTCAGGAGGAACAATTTTGCAACAGTTTATCTCCAGAAACTATTGAACAAAATATGTCCGATGGGATTCCGGAGGAGGAGTTTCTACCCCGAACTGATTTAACATACCAGTTCGGACTTGGTTCTGGGTGGAAACCCCTCCGCCGGAATTCCAGTGCGATCTTCTTCAGGATTCTATGAGGAAGGGGTGCAGGTCATGTCTTTACACGTTTTACATGTTTGCTACCATTATGGAAACCTAAGAGTCAATGGTTCTTATACTCTGGTTGTTTTTGCTATGTTTTTTTCAAGGCCAATGTGATATGGTGTTTTATTGGATGATGCATTTGTTTAATACATGAATTTGGATATGGATTCTGGTATGGTGCGTTTGGAGGGTATGTTTTGTGATGCAATATCGGATATGGATTTTGATAAGACTGTTTGTTTGGTTTGGGTTGTCGCTATGAAATCAAAACATCTCAAGACTCAAAATCATCAAAGATTGCTTGTCGATGGTGCTGCAATGGGTTGTGGTTCATTGGGTAACATGGTTTTGGATGTGCTACAACTTCGATGCAGGTTTCAATACACATTTCATCACATTTCAAATGCAGTGAACCAAACTTGCTACACACAATGTACGTGTTTAGATACACATTTCAATACACATGATGACTTTTGACAACTTGCAGGTGTGTCTGTTTTGCAAAACGTTTGCCAAACATCATGACCTGCATCCTGCCATAAACAGTA